TCCTGGGCCAATGTGGCCCATGGGCTGTGGGTTGGACAGGCTTGCTGTAGTCCAAAGTTTCTCAACCTCGGCATTATTGACTTTGGGGGCTGGATCATTCTGTAGCTCTGGAGGCTATCTTGTGTACTGCAAGATATTTAGCAGCATCCCTGGCCTCCACTCAAGAGATGCCAGTAGCACCTCCCTCCCAACTCCAGCTACAACCCCCAGTTATGACAACCAAATATGTTCCCTGAGGGGCAAAACCGCCCCAGTGAAGGATCAAGGCTCTTGGCTAATAATCACTGTATTCACTTCTCTATTATCTTTTCTACCTTATTGATTAGAGAGCATTAGGATCACAAAGCTGTTGAAGTCCTTTCTGTCCCTTTGGTCAATGGAGTGTGGGAAATTTGTATTTCCCTACCTCTTCCATTAGACTATAGGCCTATTAGAGATACGGCCTCTTCCACTTGTGGAGAATTACAAACTAGAAGCAAAGAAAATTAGAAGAATCCTACACAAAGCATACTGATTAAAATGGAGCAATGTCCACCTAGAAGAAGGCATCTATCCACTGCTATGTGCATAAACGCACTTCAACATGTTAACCAATACTTTGGAGAAGATAAAATGGAGAACTCCAGTTCTTGGAGAAGAGATCTTTTATCTTCTCCAAGAACTATAGAAGCCAAATGGCTGGGTACGTGGCAGAATCAGGATTCAAAAATCCCGCAGTGGAACAGTGATGGGCTGAGGCCAGCAAGGGGAGATTTGACAGGGTTCATCGGAAGGTCTCCGTTGCATAGAGTGCTGGTTGGTTCCCAATACCCCAACTACTCTTCCTCCTTTAGTCACAAAAAAACAATTATTTCCACATGACTAATTTCTAGCCCATGAAATGTAAGCAAGAGTATTGAATGGGACTTCTAGAAAGGCTACAAAAAGAACTGACAAGGCTGGGAAGCACATCCTTTGGATCCTTGAGCCTTTTTTCCATCTGGTACCCTTTGATGACTTGAAGGAGCTTGTGCAGTCTCCTGGGAACACATCATGACCTTGAGGATGATGGAAAAGGGCAGGAAGAGCCTATGCCCTGATGACACTGTGGACCCACAAGAGCAATCCTGGATAGCCCAAACCTCGATTTCTCTCACATGATAAGAAATTAATGTTTCTAAGAGAACTAAATGTCTGTTCTTTTGAATCCACTGTTAGTTTTGGCCTCCATCACTTTTAGCTCAGTGCAATTCCTTCCTGTTATGGGTTGAATTGTATCCCTAAAAAGGTATGTTCAAGTCCTAACCCCAAGTCCCTATGAATGTGGCCTTATTAGAAAATAGGGGATGGGCACAGTAGCTCATGCTTGTAATCTCAGCATTTTGGGAGGTCGAGGCAGGCAGATCGCTTGAACCCAGGATTTCAAGATCAGCCTGGGCAACGTGGCAAAACCCCATTTCTACAAAAAATACAAAAATTAGCCAGGTGTGGTGGCAAACACATGTAATTCCAGATACTTGGGAAGATCACTTAAGCCCAGGAGGTTAGGCTTTAGTGAGCTGTGATTGTCCCACTATACTCCAGACTGGGTGACAGAGTCAGATCCCATCTCAAAAAAAAAAAAAAAGAAAGAAAAAAGAAAAGAAAAAGAAAGTGGGGTATTGGTGCAGAAAATCAAATTAAGACAAAGTTACAGTGAATTAGGGTGGGCCTTAGTCCAATATGAGACTGGTGTCCTTATAAGAAAAAGAGGAAGAGGGACACACAGGGGAGAAGATGGCCATGTGACAACAGAAGCAGAGATTGAATTGATGCATCTACAAGCCAAGGATTAGCAGATGCTAGAAAAGGCAAGGAAGGATTCCCGGTAAGTTTAGGAGAGAAAATGGCCCTGCCAACACCCGGATTTCAGACATCTAGCCTCTAGAGCTGTGAGACAACACATTTCTATTATTTTAAGCCACCTAGTTTGTAGTACTTTGTTAATATACTACCTACTGAAGTTTTACACTTAGGTCTAAATAAGCCATTTGGTCCAAAAAATTCATGATAACAGCAGGGGGTGGGAAGTTGGGGAGAGAGAGCATGGGAAGAAATGCCAGATATAGGTGAAGGGGAGGAAGGCAGCAAATCACACTGCAACGTGTGTACCTAAGGAACAATCTTGCATGATGTTCTTCACATGTACCCCAAAACCTAAAATGCAAAAAAAAAAAAGATATGGCTTAGCAGCTGCATATGCAAAAAAAAATTGCTAAGCATTTTAGTTTAGAGAATGCTCAAAATGGAAAACACTGCAAATATGGATGAAAAGAAAGTTAACACAATTCTGAATAGACTTGACAGAAGTTTACTACCTAGAAAAGGTAGCAGTGACAGGTTTTTTTCTGCTCCATACTAGTGCTAGTGGGAGCACCTAAAATACCATATGCAGTTTTGGGCTCCTCACTTTATCAAGGCACAAAGACTTTAATAGGATCATTATTTTGAAAGCAGAGCTCTAGAGAAATAACTGAAGGCC